ATATATATATATATACGTATATATATATATTTAATATATAAATACAATATTAGAATAGCAGTCATCCCGCTATTCGCAATCCTGCTATCCCACTTTTGGGGTCAACCACTCCACTCCGCTATCCAAGATTGACTACTATGTTCTGTATTTTATGTTTTATGTTTTTCTGTTCTAGCTTTCTGTTAGCTAGTTATAACTGACTTCTTGTTGGTTATAACTAACTCAAGTGTATTCATAATAAGCTGTATCTTCTCTTATACATAATTAGGATGTACAGAAGCTCGGCACAATTGTATTTCCCACATATTTAATAATATGAAACAGTTCAATTTTCTCTGCTGCTACATTTCTAATATGGGGTATCGACTATCAAGAGTCTAAAACCTCAGTTCATGATGGCAAATCCTCTGACTCCACAACCGTCCCCACCACATTCCACTTCCACTCTGATCCTTCCTTCACTCGCACCACTCACCTTCTCTCATACAATTACTGAGATACCCACTTAAGATGATTTCCTGCTTTGGCGACAGCAAACTGAATCCGTCATCAAAGGCCACAAGCTACATTCTTATATAGTTAACCCACATATTCCATCATAGTTAATCCACATATTCCTTCATGTTTTCCTTCTGAAGACAATCTCACTAATGGATCTGTCAACCCTGCATACCAAGCCTGGGAACAGAAAGCTTAGCTGCTCCTCTCTTGGCTTCAATAGACTTTGACAAGTAGTATACTCACACCAATCATTTGTTGCATTAACTCCTTGGAACTCTAGGAAAAATTCCATGAGCACTTTAAAACACATGCAAGCTCGAGCATACCAATTGCATACTGAATCATGCAATACAACTCTCAAAGGTAAAACCATGGCAGAATTTGTCACTCACATCAAAGCACTAGTTATCTCTATTCAATTGAAGATCCTGCTACTCCCCAATAACATCTTAATGCTCTTCTTCAAGGTTTACCTTGCAATTATGAATCTGTAATGACTCTAATCAGCAACAAGTTGATTCCCCTTCAAATTCCAGAAGTAGTTGCACTTCTTCTGGTTCATGAATTTGTGCATTATAAATTATTTGGTTTGTATTACAATATTTAAAATACCAGTTGTCATGCTATATAACTAGCTTTTTCACAGATAGCCACTCTAGTGTTTTCAGAGTTGGCCACTACATGCCGTTATCCAAGATTGATTACCATGCTTTTGCACTTTTAGGGGTTTATTTTATTTCTCTCAATTTAGCTAGTCATTCGAAAAAAACCATCTGAATTAGTAACCTATTAACTGGACCCAACACTAAGACTCAATAGCAAGCATATCTGGAAGGACTAATTTAATACCCATCAATAAACAACTTAAAAATGGGAGGATATAGTTCTGTCAAGAAAAAACTTACAAGAGCATTTATATTGCTAAAAATTGGTAACCCGTGCACAATAGTACTCCACAGTAGTTGCCAACCATTGACGAACTGCAAAAATTAGTTTCACCAAAACAATGAATATTTTAGCAAGAAGTCATACCGGAGATGCAACAAAGATAAACAATTCTTCAAAGTAGCCCAACCAAATAATCAATTTTAACATAATTGTTTTTTTTTTTTGGTTGGCAAAGATAAGATATATAAACCCTAAACAACATGATTGTTAAAACCCAGTGACTGGCTAACTACTATGGAATACATTATTTTTAAATCAAACCTTGAGTCCCAATGAATGATTAGATTACTCAAAAAATTCAATTAGCATAAATCAGACATGGGGGGCCAGCCATTGTCCATACCACATTTTATTGTATCTTTAATTACTAATATATTAAGTAATATTATTGACATTGCTTGTTTTATTGATTAAAAAAATCCATTCATGAAAGTTTTTCTCCAGATCATGAAACAGCCAACTAAATTTATATTGAATGAGGAGGATAAGATATTCTCCATAACCAAGAAACAAACAAAAACACAACAAAGGAACAGAAAAGGCATGTTAATTCAAAAAAATCCCTCAATGACATTTTCACATGTTAATTTTCCATCATCAACACTATATGTTTATTGTTTAGCATTAGAATTTGGAGACAGTGTGACAGACATCAAAGGACAGTGAAAATGTATGTGGGAGAGAGAGACTTCGCTTAAGGTAGAAGAAGCCATTGAAGATATCTCCATCCTTGAATTTGGAAGCAACAGTACAGAAGAAAGTTCCTGCAAACTCCTTTAGATGCAATAGATCAGACATAAGTTCAGAACCACAGTAACAATTCAAATAGACCAAAATGTTGAATATAATATGTAAAAATGAATTAAAGTCCTATAAAGACTATGAGATGCACAAGAACTGCTCTCTTATTCACATGCATAGCAAGAGACAATCAAACTGTGTTAAAGAGAACAAGGTGTAGAGCATAGCTACATACCTCAGAGTCCATAACAAACCATCATAGGTCCGATCAACATTTGCAGAACTCAGGATTCTGCAAAATTATATCCACTTTCTTAATAACAATAATCATAAACATTCTTTCTGACAACGATGTGTCACACATTCAATTCAAATCATGACAAAGGTATTTGAGTGTTTGAAGAAAGTCCATATTCCAACCAGATAATTATCTAGGATTAGCTTTATCCATCTCCCCAAGCATGCACAATATTCCCACAGATAATGTTAACTTTTTTATTATTGATAGGGGGAAAAAGTAACTTGAGTATAGTAGAAAAAAGTACATGAATAAAACAAAAATCATAAGCAAAGAACTTTATAAAATAGAAGAGGGAGATACATACGTAAGAAGACAAGAAATCCTCAAGATTTAAAAATGTTTACAATGAAAAATAAAAAAATAAAAACCAATGCTTCAAAACTAGACTGGTAATTGAACCGATGAAAGTATTGGTTCATGGTTTATTGGTTTAACTGAGGTTGAACCAGTAGTAACTAAATTTATATTTCTAATATTATATAATACTTTAAATAATAATAATATAAAATTATAAGAAATCAAGATATGAAAAATTGTAAATTGATATAGATGACTAAACTATGTTTTACAAGATAAAAATAATAGTAATTGGTAAAATAATGTATACCTATGTGTAATCTGTAAATATGTACTTTCATTTTTCTTAAAAATGTTTTAAATTGAATTAAAAAATAAGAGAGATTAAAAAAATATAAATTTTGAAAAGTAATAGTTAAAGCCAGTTTTCTATGCTGATTTTGATTTTTGACTGGTTTGACTGTTTGTGAGATGAGCCAATTTTTTGGAGTTAACAGACCAGTTCTTGGTTGAACCAGCCAGTCCAGTTTTTAAACCATGCAATAAACAGATAAAGAAACAAAGTGCATGAGTAAAAATGTTAATGATTACAAATCACAAGGTTGACGTTTTAACACCATCAAAAGAAAAGGGAAGACAATAAAATTAGAAATCCTAATTTTCAGCTCCACTCATTCCACAGCAATAATTTTGAATAAGACAGCAACAAAAGGAGCCAACATTGAAGTTGTTCCTTTGTTTAGCCCGCCAATCCTAAAGTACCTGTCAAAGCTCATATAAATGCCTTCAAACCAGTAGAGAAAAAGATCTTTGCAAATGCGAGTATGGTAGTTGCGAGTGAGAGAACAAAATGCAGCATTCCTACAGCATAGATCATTCATCAGATTTTGCCACAATGATACTTAATTTAAACAATCTCTATTAATAGGATACAACACAACAACACAATTAACTTATGTGTTATTTGACCAGTTTGTTAAAAATTAAATATAAAAAAAAAAAGGTGTTTATAAAAAAAGTGATTTTAAAAAAACATTTTTTAAAAAGCAGATAGAAGATACTTCTTAAAAAATACAGAAAACTGCTTTTTTTTAAAATAAGTTTAAACAAACACATCAAAAAAGTAGAAAATTGCTTATTTTACTAATATAAAAAAAAGGAGTGTTTTCTTGAGAAATGAAAAAAAAATTTAACAAACAGACCCATTATATCAAAAGATGCATTCAAAGGACTATACAGAAGACAAGACAGATTCTAGCATAAGATCAAAACCAGAAAATGGGAAAATAAGATAAAATGATGACAAAAAATTCAGTAAAGCCAAAATTGATTTAAAACCCGACAGTTTAAACACTGACAAAAAGGGTAGTGGGAAAAAAGAATTCAATTTCTACTAAAAGCTTATATTTTTATTTATCATTGTAAACACCAAATTTGTACACATATAATTGCTCCATTACACATTTCATGACAACAAACAGACCAAATTGTGATCATGAGTCATGACCTATTAAAATTTTCTCTCTGTTTCCATTTCTATAAAAAGAATACGAGTAGATAAAGATATTGATAATAATCTAATAAATAATAATGCAAACAATTAAACATCTTACCAATACATCAAACTATATTTCATTAGAGAATTTAAAGAATATTAGAAGCAAATGAGAGAAAGGTGATAGATCTCAAATGGGTATTAAGAAAGATTTGAAAGAAACGAAAGATTGTTGTAAAATTGTTCTTGAACCCTTGCTGGTCAACGCAAACCAGAACGGAAGAATACAGTGATACAAGGTGTTGAGAGTAATGGTGAATGGAGAGAACATATTCCTTATGTATTGCAAAGCAAAAGATGTGTTTAAATACAAAGCAGTGGGCCTAGGCCCATAAGATAAAAAAACTATAAGATAAAAACTATATCTAACACTCCCCCTCAAGCTGGTGTATATAGATCATATGCACCAAGCTTGTTACAAATATAATCAATCCTATGACCCCGTAATGATTTGGTGAAGACATCTGCCAACTGATCAGTAGAGTTAACAAACTGAGTAGTAATGTCCCCAGATAAAATCTTCTCACGAATGAAGTGACAATCTATTTCAATGTGTTTGGTCCTCTCGTGAAATACTGGATTTGAGGCAATATGAAGGGCAGCTTGGTTATCACATATGAGAGTCATCTGTGTAACTTCGCCAAATCTCAGTTCTTTAAGCAACTGTTTGAGCCAAATAAGCTCACACGTAGCAGAGGCCATGGCACGGTATTCTGCTTCTGCACTAGATCTTGCCACTACATTCTGCTTCTTACTTTTCCACGAAATCAAGTTATCGCCAATAAAGACACAATAACCTGAGGTGGATCTCCTGTCAGAGGGAGAGCCTGCCCAATCTGCATCTGAGTATCCCACAACTTGGGTATGATTGTTGTAGCCATATAATAAACCTTTTCCTGGAGCACCTTTGATATACTTCAGAATGCGAATGACTGCATTCCAATGTCCTGCACATGGAGAATTGAGAAATTGACTCACCACACTAACCGCAAAAGAGATGTCAGGACGAGTTACCGTGAGATAATTCAATTTCCCAACCAGTCTTCTGTACCTCTCAGGATCTGAGAAAGGCTCCCCCTGACTTGGTAGAAGTTTAGCATTAGGATCCATAGGTGTATCAACGGGCTTGGAATTCATTAGCCCAGTTTCCTCTAAAATATCCAATGCATACTTTCTTTGAGATATTACAATTCCATTTGTAGATTGCGCTACCTCAATCCCCAAGAAATACCTAAGTTTACCAAGGTCTTTGTTTGAAAGTGATGGCAAAGATGTTGTTTTATCTGAGAAATGCCATGATGATCACTACCAATAAGAACAATATCATCAACATACATCAAGTAGATGCACCCAGCAGTGGAATGTCGATAAAAAACCGAATAATCAGCTTCGCTTCGAGTCATACCAAATTGTTGGACTACAGTACTGAATCTACCAAACCATGCCCTTGGAGACTGCTTAAGACCATAAAGTGATTTGCGGAGACGACATACCAAACCGGAAGACTCCCCCTGAGCAACAAACCCAGGAGGTTGCTCCATACAAATTTCCTCAAGCAAATCCCCATGAAGAAAGGCATTTTTAACATCCAGTTGATAGAGAGGCCAACGGCGAAGAGCAGCCATGGCTAAGAATAATCTGACAGAGGTCATCTTGGCAACAGGAGAGAAAGTGTCACCATAGTCTAATCCAAAAATTTGAGTATAACCTTTGGCGACCAAACGAGCTTTGAGTCGATCAATGGTGCCATCAGGACCAACCTTGACTGTGAAGATCCATCGACATCCAACCACAGACTTCCCAGGAGGCAAAGAAACAAGATCCCAAGTACCATTGTTCTGAAGAGCACACAGTTCATCAAGCATGGCTTGTCTCCAACCAGGGTGGGCCAAGGCATCACCTACATTTTTAGGAATAGACACAGAGGAAAGAGAAGAGAGACAAGTATATTGGGAGGGGGATAACCGGTGATAACTCAGAGTAATATAATGAGGGGAAGGATTACGAGTAGAACGATTACCTTTCCGAAGGGCAATAGGGAGGTCAGACTCAAGTGGTTGGGCCGGAGGAGACGAAGGAGGTGGCACCGAAGTAGAGTCGGGTGGGGGTCCAATGGGAAGGCTGGAGCGTTGCCGACGATGATAAACTTGAAGTGGAGGCGGAGGTGGTGGGCCGGTGACACAGCAGACACAGGAGGAGTATCAAAGACAAGAAGTAAGGGTGAAGGGGCAAGGACAGGTGTAAGAGAAGAGGAAGTAGATGAAAAGTAGAGAGAAGGCTCAAGAAAGGCGACATCAGCTGAAATTAAGTAGCGATGAAGGGAGGGTGAGAAACATTTATACCCTTTTTGAGACCTAGGATACCCTAAAAAGACACATTTATGAGATCGAGCGGAGAGTTTGTCAAGACCAGGACGGTGATTATGGACAAAACACGTAGATCCAAAGACGCGAGGAGGTAGAGAATGGAGCGGTTGAGTGGGAAATAAAATAGAGTGAGGTATTTGGTTGTTGAGGACAGAAGATGGCATTCGATTGATGAGATAGCAAGCAGTGAGAACAGCATCGCCCCAAAAAGGTTGAGGAATGTGACCATGAAGTAAGAGGGTGCGAGTGGTCTTAATTAGGTGTCTATTTTTGCGCTCACTCACCCCATTTTGTTGAGGGGTATATGCACAAGAAGTATGATGAAGAATGCCATGGGAAGCCATGAAGGCTTTAAAGGAGTGAGAGAGGTATTCACGAACATTATCACTACGAAAAGTACGAATAGAAACACCAAATTGAGTTTAAATTTCATTATAAAAAGATTGAAATATGGAAAATAATTCGAAACGAGATTTCATTAAAAATAGCCAAGTACATCGAGAGTAATCATCAATAAAAGTGACAAAATACAGAAATCCTAAAGTGGACGGGACCCGACTCGGCCCCCAAATATCATAATGAACTAAAGCAAAAGGAGACAATGCTCGGTTGTGGACACTCGGAGAAAAGGAACTACGACTATGTTTGCCTAACTGACACGACTCACACGACAAATGAGACAACTTAGATAGACGTGGTACAAGATGTTGAAGCTTGGCAAGGCTAGGATGACCTAATTGAGCATGGATGAGGGAAGGGGAATCCGCCACCAAACCAACAGGAGCAGAGGTGCGTAGGTGATAAAGGCCATGAGACTCACATCCGGTGCCAATCATCCGTCCCGAACTCCGATCCTGTAAGAAAACAGAATCTTTGGTAAAAGAAATAAGGCAATCAAGAGAACGAGTAAGACGACTAAGGGGTAATAAATTAAAGGGAGACTCTGGGACATTAAGGACATTGTCAATGGAGAGAGAAGGAGAAAGATGGACAGTACCAACACCATGAGATGTGGCACGAGAACCATTAGCCATAGTGATAGAGGGTAAATAAGTAGAGGTAGAAAGAGATGAGAAAAAAGACCGATTACCATAAATATGATCGGTAGCACCAGAATCTAGGACCCAAGGGCCAAGAGAGGTGGAGTGAGTGAGACCAACAAACAAAGGGCCTGTGTGCGCAACAGAAGCAGTGGAATTGGAAGCTTGACGTTCTTCATACCATTTAAGGAAGTTATTGAAGAGAGCTGGGGGCCCAGAGCCAGAACTATCAGAGGGGGTAGCACCAGATGCAGTAGAGACAGGAGAGGCAGTGTGGGCAACAGCAGTAGTAGGGCGAGGGGGACGACCATGTAAGACATAGCAACGGTCAATTGTGTGGCCCAGTTTGTGACAGTGATCACACTTGGGACGACCTTTGCCCGGTTTGCGAGAACGCTGACGATCATCACGTTGAGAAACCAAAGCAGAGGAGTCGCCAGTGGGAGCTGAAGAAGGTATGTCAGGGGAAAACTTGCAAGGCACACGCAACAGAGTGGACCAAGCCGAGTTCAAGGTAGGCACGGTCGGAGATCCCAAAATCTGATCACGAATGGAAGAGTACTCATCAGGAAGCCCATACAATGCCATCAACATAAAGAATGTTTGGCGTTGCTCTAGTTCCTTGGCAGGAGTGTCAGCAGGAGGCAAAAGTTCATTAAAGTCATGTAGGAGGCCATGAACTTTGCCCAAATACTCAGCCATGGAGCCATCAAGGCGTCGTGGGGAGATGATATTCTGGAGATTTTGACACACACCATAGAGACGTTGAGTATCATTGGTGTATAACACTCGGGCTTGTTCCCATACATCAACACATGTCTCATGGGCACGAAAAATTTGCTTTAAGGAGGGATGAATGGTCGACTTAAGGACACTACAAATTTGAGCGTCAATTTTCAACCAACGAGGACGATCCTTCTCATCAACGGAAGCAGCTGTCTGGGTAAGGTGAGCAACATAATCCTGTCCCTTAAGCCAAAGCTTGATATCCGAAGCCCAAGTATCATAATTGGTGCCATCTAACTTGTCAATGGAAAGAGAGACATTGACATAATTAGTGAAAATAGCAGAGTCAGGCCGATCAGCAGAAGAGGAAGCCATAGATGCTGTAACAGGAGAGAGAAAAAACGGCCCGAGAAGGAAGAGATTCGTGACAAACGAGGTCCGATCACAAAACAAATAGTAGATCGGGGTAGAGGAGGTCGGGGCAAGTCTGGCACCGGTGGTCGCTGCCGGAAAGGTGGCCGCACGCGCTGCCACGCGCGGCGGCCGGCAGGGAGGAGAGAGAAAGGCGCGAGAACGAGATCAGCGCGTGAGGGAGTGTGCGATCTCCGTTCACCGCGCGACTGGTGGTGTTGGAGTCGCCGGAGCAAGGCAACCTGGGTGGGTGGGTCGACGTCCGGAAAGTCGACGGCGGCGGCAGTGGACGGCGGCAGCAGTGAAGAAAAATGCCGGAAGAATAGAGAAAAACGGCTGGAAAGAAACACGGCGAGGTGGGTAGCCGGAAAATGGAATGAGACACGTTTTTCGGGCACCGATGAACAGTGGGTCCACCGGGAGGTCAAGGATTAGGCTCTAGATACCATGTTGAGAGTAATGGTGAATGGAGAGAACATATTCCTTGTGTATTGCAAAGCAAAAGATGTGTTTAAATACAAAGCAGTGAGCCTAGGCCCATAAGATAAAAAAACTATAGATAAAAACTATATCTAACACAAGGCAAATTCAAGAGTGCCTATCTCTTCAGAATTATTTCACTATTTTCCTACCTACTTCTATGATTCTCTCATATTTATAAAATTTGACTGCCTCCACAGAAGAGCTATCAGTTAGTTAACATAATAACTAATTGTCCCCCCTTTTCCTCCTAACATAGACCCTCTTAACTATGGGCCCCCTATCAAAAGGCAAAGTTGAGAGCATAACTTTTCATTGAGCAGCAACTTAAAAGATATTTTTCATCTTATAATGTTTGGGGAAAAAAGTGAACTCAAGTAAAACCACAAACAAATATTGATTATGTCCCAGATCCAAAATTGAATTTTTAATTCATGCCCTTGCTGTGCACAATAGTTTCAGCCAAAAAATAGCTAAATTGGAATTTTTTTAACTTTAACCTTTATAAGCTCAGCAGTTTGATACTGTTAGTTACTTAGTTCAAAGTTCAAACTGTGAGAGGCAAATCAGAACGCCTGGTTTCCAAACAATCCAGGCATCGTATATAAATCAAGGCATTGCATGAACTCAACAAGTTATATAAAGGCCTAAGCACTACCCAATATCATACAAAGGTCACTACTCACTACCCAAAAATTTTAGGGCAAACATGGATTGCATGCACAAAGGTAAAAAATGTTTGTTTACATGTTATGAAAGCAATAATGTGAATGCATAATATTGTTTGCCAGTTTCTACCATGATAAAACATATCTCTTGTTAAAGAAAACTAAATATTCTGAAAAAGAGAATATAAGGGTACATAGAAGACAGGTGAACAAATGGAGACGACTCATACCCAAAACAAAAGTATACTAATATAAACATGAACTAAAAATAGAAGTTTTTCAAAAAGATTGCTTTTTATAATAGAATGACTATTTTTGTAGGACAAGGGGGAGAAAACAGTACAAAAAGATGAGATTAAAAAAAAAAGTTACTTAAGAGAGGCACAAAAAACTAATAGCGTGTGCCACTATAGCATACTGCAGAATGTGCTGTGCAATGCAAGCCTCAAATTAGCTAATAAATTACCATAGCCATTTGCCTTTCATGAGTGCCTCCCTCAGGATCACAGCAGCAGGCTCCCTCTTAACCCGTTTCTCGCATAATGAGGCTCTTGTTGTATTCAAGCATGCCTAAGGAATAAAAATTGGGGAATATTAGCCTGCAATGTGGAAATTCTTATGAGGGAGGAAATTAGTACATTCACTAAATCACCAAAATAAAATGGCCAGTTTCTCAACCTATAAACATAACTAGAAATCACATGTTCAAATAACACTATATAGATTGCAGAAATGATGTTTTAATAAAAGAAAATATAATAGTAGCACAAAGTCACAAGAACATTTGCAAAACTAAATGGATCATCCCAACAAGAAAAACAAATGACACAAGAGAGAAAAGAAGGCTAGTAAAACTAAGGAGTAGCGACAGATAAAGACAACCTCCAAAATAGAAGTATAAATAACAAGGAAAATAAAGGGACTAATTACTAAACAAGAAGGCGAGTCAGCTTATGTGCATCTCAGAGATGGGAAGTCCCTTTACAAACCAAAGGCATAGAACCAGATATATCAATGAATCAATGAAGACAATATAATTTCTAGGCAAATCTAAAGGTATTTGCATAGAGGATCCCATACTAATGCAGGCATTCTGCTCCAACTAATACAAGAGCTCTACAACAAACCACTTTCAAACATTTTGGCCTCCTTGATTTCATTGAAACTCTCAAACAAACCATGAGCAACTGCTCCACCAATATACCAGCAAAAGTAATATTCATTAAGCACACCATATAAAAACAATGAAGAAAAAGACAAACCATGAAGACTCCTGTGTAATTAAATAATTGTCCATTATGTTCGAATTAATCAACACAGTTGCATAGAGAAGATACATAAATTGTCAAGAATTGCAATCAGAAACTTAATTATTAAATGCAGGAATCAGCAGCTAAGTTTCAAGTAACTACCCTGTAAAATAAAATTGCTGCAAGTTCCACCAATCCACATTGTGAGCTACTCAAAGCTCCTAGTTTATCGTCTTTATTTCCATCACCACTGGGCAAAATGTTCAATAAGATCATTATGGATAACATATTAAACAAGTTCATTAAGTTCAGTGTAAAGCACTGGAAGATCCATCATTAAAAATATGACATGGATGACATTAGAAACACTCACCGCAGCATTGAAGTACTAGACATACTACCTTGATCCAGATCCTTGCAAATCACATCCAAAAGTTGTTCTACCAATAAACACCTATCAGCTGCACCTCTCATTAAATTCAATTGTATCCTTGCATAAAACACAAGTGAATCCTGCAACAGAAATTTGAATAGCAGAATTTGAAAAAAATTGAAAACAATTTATAAATTTAATCTGGTATTTGCTTTAAAATGCAATTGTAAGAGACCTTAAGAACTCGATCATGTGTTGTCAACCAACTGCGAAACACAAACTGCTGCATGGCATTATGAATATCAAACAACCGAGAGCCCAAATTTGGACCATCATTTAACAAATATGTATTAATACACTCAACAAGTTTACGTGATATCTTGCCCTCTTCCCTGAAAAAATAACAATAGGTGGTATAGCACTCTAGCAAATAATAATAGAATAAACGGCGAATCACAGTAGTAAATACCTGATGAATGAACAAATTCTAACAAACCCCTTGACAATGTCTTCTCTTACATTATCAGGATAGTCCCCAGGAGGATATTTCAAAAGAGAACGAAGGGTCAAGATACAGCGAAAGACCTCCTCATTGGAAGTAGAATTACTAATATTTTTTCCGTCCAAGCTCACTTCAACTTTCTCAATGTACAGAAACACCAGGTCTAGAAAAACAGATTTGATTAGAAAGAGGGGTGGGAAGATTAAACTGGTAATGTTGATGAGATGTGGAGATGATGCATGCTTTAAGTTCACAAAAACTTACTGCAGTAAACGCGCTTCCTCATCTGGAAACTATAATCCCTAACCGACAATAGATGCCGGAGGATAATCCCATATTCATAATGAAAGCTTGGAACATTGCTCAGGACATCCCACACATGATTAAAAAGTGGTTTAATTACAGATGACAAAGGTAACATTTTGCCTAAAAATAAAAGGAAAAGAAAATAATTAAGAGAAGGAGGAAAGTTCACAACATTAAATTCATAAATTGTAATTTTCCAATTTTTCTTTGTAGAATTTTAAGAATGAAATTACAAAAATTAAAAAAAGAAAGCCTCAAAAGTATGTGCTCACTTAATAAGTGGTAAATATTTATGTTATTTTCATTTTATAGAAAAGGCATACTAACACTACCAAGTACCACAATAAAAAAAAATTTCTATAACATAAAAATGAATTCATGATAAAAGAATATTTACCATGAAAAGGAAATAAACACTTACAGCGGCTATTTAAGACAATATATTGTACATAATAACCATCTCATATGGTTATTTTTATTTCAATATAAATATTTCACTTGGAGTTCCTGATTTGAAATTTTCCTAAAACACTATTGACAATTCAGGAGTACAATCAGTACTTTTCTATAGTACTATACCACTACTAATTCAAACACATTTAATTTTATTTTGGTTTCACATCAACCACATTGGAACTAGCTACTTATCAGCTTTGTTGACAACTCATTGTCGCATTTAACCACTCACTAATCATATTTACCATTTATAATTTGACACAAACAGTTAACTATGCAGTGCAAGCTGTTATCAAAATATCCATCTCTATTTTCTAGCAATTCAAGTGTCTGAATAACTCTACAGAAGTGAGGAATTACAAATACTGGAGGTTGGATTTTATTTAAAATTTTCACATAAGAACATCCAATGATATGGTGTAAAGTTTCTTGCTTCAAGTCCCTAGAAAGATCAGGGTCAAGCGAGTGAGTGAGGGAATATACTATCTCACTTTGTATTAAAGTGACTGCATTCAATTAGTTTGTTACAGCTGTCAGTCTGCAATTAGTTAGAGGCAGTTACAACTGTCACATCTATCTGAGATCAGTTACTGCACTATATATACTCTGTAACAGGTCTGAGCATAGTATCTTGTAATTCATTTTTCAGTTTCACCCAGATCAATAATATCAGCTTTATCATGAGAAACAATTCTCTCCCTAACAGTGAGTAACAAGTAAGAAGATATAGAAAATCAATAATTCCCCCTATCAGTTAAGTTCCTAAGAAGTGAAATTCCAGAAACCATATGATAATTCTAAAGTGTACAAACATGAGAACCAGTGAAACACTAAGAAAAAAGGATAACAGAAAAAAAGGGCCTTCAAAATACAACAATATCACAAACCATACCAAAAGACAATACTAGAGTACAACCATCATCAAAAGAAAGCAAAAGAAAAATAAATAAACTTCTTGCACTAATAGCAAATTAGCAATTACTCCTGTAACAAGATAATCAAACTCTTAGTCTTATCAGAACAACAATAATCAAATGAATCAATATACACATTCACAATGAGCCTTTAACATCTAACAGACTTAAAATGAGCATCAGTATGTTCCATAATGAGTAGAGGACACAACAAATCATTTCCAAGTTTGATGAACTTGGTATTCTCTTTAGTTTTATTTTAAAATATCAGCCGAGGCTAATAAGTGTGTAGACTGGCTTGCTAAATTTGGTGCTCAGTCTACCAGTGATTGTAAGATCAGGATGTCCTGTCATACTCAGCTGAATACCTTAGTTTTAGCTGATGCTTTGGGTAATATAATATTTCCCTACGTCTGTAATTTGTGTTCCTTTTAGTTTTCCCACAAATCAAAAAAATATATCAGCTGAGGCCAGTATTAAATATTATTGAAAACAATGAGATAAAATATATATATATATATATATATATATATATATATATATCTAAAATGGGTATTATAACCTCAAGAATTATTCTATTATTGGCTCAATGTTTAGAAGCAAAACATTGAAGATATCAATCATTACAAAAAGAGGATGTCTTATAGTCATGGTCACCATTGGTGTCTAATAATCATTTAATTTTCTTCCCACAGATTGTTACCCAGCTTCTGGACGCAATTAATTTTTAATTTAACATCTCATTCCATTGTTTGTTTATAATCAAAATGGGAGAAAACAACAAGCATGTTATGAACTAAACTACCTCCAACTGACCTGAACATTTGGCATCCTCCGCACGTTGCACAACAATTCTAAGAGTCTTCGCATATATCAATTTTGGATTTCTCCGCTTACTTGAGGATATTTCCGACGATGCAGATTTAATAAGTATAGAAATAAGAAAAGGCCATGTTTCAGCTGCCCCACACAAATTTAAAATAAACAAATAAATCATAAGTATACACCTTGGCTTGGATAAAATTAAAAATACTGCATCCACCATTGCTTTTAAAAAATCAACTTACAGTGAGGAATTTCATCTGGTCTAAGCTTTGCAGTATTCAGTCCAATAAATTTGCAGAAGTTATGTGAGCTTCCTCCTTCTAACCAAGTGCTTAACAACTTAATCCCTTCCTGTTGACATAGAACAACAACAACAACACAATCATAATGAATAAAGATGCACACAACAGAGAAAAGAAAGATATCAATGTATACTAATATCTATATCTAATTGGCAAACAACCTAAATGTAACGAGCAACACAGATTTTTGTTCTATTTTAAATCGCATATTAACGAGCAACGTAAAAGAACTAGAACTAGAAGGGAAAATGACCTCGCGAGCTTTGACTTTATCGGATGAAAGCTTTTCCACAATCTCTTGAACGTCTCTAGAAGTGACCATTGCGATGATCGCTACGCATTCAATGGTTACACATCGAATCAGAGGAATGGAAGTAGCAGACAGTAATCTAAGAGGTAGGGTTTTAGGCGGGAAAAGAAAACGAAGGGTTTTAGAGCGCCGAGAAAAACGGGGTCTCGCGTTTCAGTAGTGAAGTGGATAATAGTATTTGACACTCACTAGACGAGCAAAATGGATCGATTCTTTGGCAGGGTTTTTCAGTTCCAGCACCCGTCACACTTTTCAAATAGTTTATTACTGCTAGTTTTACACTTTATCATCAATATACCATTAAAAAGTGATGAAATTATACAACTTTTAATGTATTCTAAAACATTGTATATACATCAGTTTAACTTCTAAATTAATATACTTTATTAATTTTCAGGAATTAATTTGAAAAAATTGCTAATACTTAAGAGATTATTTAACAGAAATTCTACTATTTGAAAATTTATTTATATAATTTAAAATATATATATATATATATATATATATATATATTTTAAATTATATAAATAAATTTTCAAATAGTAGAATTTCTGTTAAATAATCTCTTAAGTATTAGCAATTTTTTCAAATTAATTCCTGAAAATTAATAAAGTATATTAATTTAGAAGTTAAACTGATGTATATACAATGTTTTAGAATACATTAAAAGTTGTATAATTTCATCACTTTTTAATGGTATATTGATGATAAAGTGTAAAACTAGCAGTAATAAACTATTTGAAAAGTGTGACGGGTGCTGGAACTGAAAAACCCTGCCAAAGAATCGATCCATTTTGCTCGTCTAGTGAGTGTCAAATACTATTATCCACTTCACTACTGAAACGCGAGACCCCGTTTTTCTCGGCGCTCTAAAACCCTTCGTTTTCTTTTCCCGCCTAAAACCCTACCTCTTAGATTACTGTCTGCTACTTCCATTCCTCTGATTCGATGTGTAACCATTGAATGCGTAGCGATCATCGCAATGGTCACTTCTAGAGACGTTCAAGAGATTGTGGAAAAGCTTTCATCCGATAAAGTCAAAGCTCGCGAGGTCATTTTCCCTTCTAGTTCTAGTTCTTTTACGTTGCTCGTTAATATGCGATTTAAAATAGAACAAAAATCTGTGTTGCTCGTTACATTTAGGTTGTTTGCCAATTAGATATAGATATTAGTATACATTGATATCTTTCTTTTCTCTGTTGTGTGCATCTTTATTCATTATGATTGTGTTGTTGTTGTTGTTCTATGTCAACAGGAAGGGATTAAGTTGTTAAGCACTTGGTTAGAAGGAGGAAGCTCACATAACTTCTGCAAATTTATTGGACTGAATACTGCAAAGCTTAGACCAGATGAAATTCCTCACTGTAAGTTGATTTTTTAAAAGCAATGGTGGATGCAGTATTTTTAATTTTATCCAAGCCAAGGTGTATACTTATGATTTATTTGTTTATTTTAAATTTGTGTGGGGCAGCTGAAACATGGCCTTTTCTTATTTCTATACTTATTAAATCTGCATCGTCGGAAATATCCTCAAGTAAGCGGAGAAATCCAAAATTGATATATGCGAAGACTCTTAGAATTGTTGTGCAACGTGCGGAGGATGCCAAATGTTCAGGTCAGTTGGAGGTAGTTTAGTTCATAACATGCTTGTTGTTTTCTCCCATTTTGATTATAAACAAACAATGGAATGAGATGTTAAATTAAAAATTAATTGCGTCCAGAAGCTGGGTAACAATCTGTGGGAAGAAAATTAAATGATTATTAGACACCAATGGTGACCATGACTATAAGACTCATCTTCGACATTTATTCTAAATTTCACTTCGATTTTTTTAATTTTGTTCTTTAACCTATTTTTTAGCTGCATTTTTTACATATATAGAATTATAAGTTATACAAATAATATATTTAAGATCTTCTTTAATAAATTTTTATGTAATAACAACTTGTGTTATAAATGTGTGGAAGTATTATTACTTAAACACTTGTAAAATGTTATCTCAATTTAGAAATTAAAAAATTATAAAATTAAATTTGGACTGAAAATAAAATTAAAATATAAAAAGTAATTAAATAATTTTAAAATGGTATTATAATCATAATAATATTAAAAATAAAAAATTACTATTGATGGTTCACCTAATTTTAGTTTATAGAAATTAAAAATGTTTAATAAAATTAGTCAATAAACTAACTAATAAGTGTAAAAGAACATAATTATTTATTTTAGGAAAAAATAGATTTTAAATTAATTAACCAAGTTAAACATGAAAAAAATTAAAAAGATATCATATGAAATTATATATTATTTTGACTGATTTATAAATTAATATAACCAAAATAAACTTATTTAATACACAAATTTATTTTAGTAATTTATGAAAATAAGCTAACTTATAAATTACTTACTTTTTTTTTGTCTTCTCACTTTTATTCTCATTAACTTTGTTGAAATAATTTTCTACCTCAAATAACTAAACATATCCTTTTATATAATTTTAAATTTATCAATTAACTTCAATCTAACCAAACACTTTGAACTTAATTAATTAATTTGTAAGTTTCACCTTTTCAACTCCCCAGCTTATAACTTATAAGCTAATTTAACAAAACACAATTTATAAGCTAATTAAGATAGCTTATAAAAATAAGCTAAAAAATTTCTAAAATAAACTTACATATCAAATAACTTAATTATAGTCAAATTAACTTAAAAGCTACTCAAACTAGTTGATAAGATAGTAAAAAAAATTGTTGATAAAACTACTTAGTGACTTGTCACACATTTGGCAAGTTACTTTAGTAGCTTGAAAACATGTTTAAGTAGACGAGTTTAATTAAGTAAGCTATTTCAACTAACTTATAAGTTATTAGTTTTTTTATTAATTTATTTTAATTTTTTAACCTATTTTATTAATTTTCAAAAATAGCCTACTATGTCACTCTTAGTAATGACATGTTCTCTCTTTTACATCTTTCACTCTCACCCCCATAAAACAATAACGCTCATCTTCAATGACATCTTTTATAATATATGTAATGTAGTAAGTTAATTGTTTAGAGTTTAGTTAACAATAGAGAGAAGAGTATATAAGATTTTCTTTGAGAACGAAACTTCATAAGCTTATTCTCAAAGAAAATCTAGAGAGAAGGGTTTTGGGTCCATGAGCTCCTTTTTCTCCCAAATTTTTCTGTTTGATTCCTCTTCTCTTATAGATCACTAATCGCTTCTGTCTCTATTTTTTTTAATTCAGGCTAGAAAGCTTGATTTTGACAGATTGAAGTATGCGGGTCTACCGTTCAGGAGTTTTTCTTCTTCTTCCTCTTCTTGACTTTTCTGAGCAAATTTTCAGGTAAGGGAAGCTAGGATTGTGATAGATTGGTTGCATGTAAGTTTAGAAACTCAATTGATGCATGAATTGGAGATTGATTTGCTAATTGGAGGGATTTTCCCATTTTTGGTGTTTTCAAGCTAAAACGGAGTTTTGGCTGATTTGGTGTATCGAATGAGTGCGTGTTGTTTCTAGAACTTGAATTGAACTCTTTTTGGTGCATGGATGTTATATTTTCCATTACATGTGTGTTTTTGTTTTTAGTTTCAGGTGTGAAAGTCCAAAAAATGGTGTAGAATATGGAGCCTCTATCATCAAATGATTGAGTCGTTTTAAAGGGTTGAGCCCTTTGAGGCTCGCATGACAAAGGGAGATTTCTGGAACCAAAGGACTGAGCGATTTTAAAGGGCTGAGCCCTTTGGGGGCCGCATTACAGGAGAGAACCCCTAGAAGCAAGCAAAGCGCTAAGCGCTTTGGGAGGCGCTGAGCGGTTTGATGCTTTCTGAATTAGACTTTTATATATTCATAAAAGTTGTATCCATGGATGTTATCTTTCCAATGACGTTGAAATCACCTAAAAAGGAGGTCTAGAACATTAGTTATGGATATTTTAGTAAACAGGGGTCAAGCTGTCAACATTGATTATATCTGTTGCGAGTTTTGACATTTTTAGCCAAATAGATTATTTATTTAGAATTTCATGTCTTTATAAGAGTTGTAGATTATCCTCTTATCTTTCTTTAGAGATAGGTTTTAGCTTATTTGGATGAGTATAACTCTCTAGATGTTGTTTACTTTGAAAATTGTCAAAGGGAGATGCATGTTATTTTGATGTTTTAAGTATTATCACATGGATTAAAAATTGGTATGATACTATGCTGAATAGTGGTTCATATATGTATGATATATGATGTAAATTGGTGCTTGATTCATATATATACTTGGTAATGATATATATGAATGTTTAAACATGATATGATATGTATGTATGTTTATATAAGGATGATATTGATCATAGTGGTGGATTGACCATGTATGATGTATGATGTATTATTGCATGTGAGAGTGGTGCTTGGATAGACCACTGGTTTTGGGTGAGAGTGGTGATTGGATAAGTCACTGATTTGGGTGAGTCTCCTCTAAGTCCTTAGTTAGTATTGGAGTGGGATATGAAGTCGAGCGTTATTTCCTTAACCAATTACTGGAGAAAGTGCGTGATTCCTTGCGGATAGTCGGTGGGCAAACTCCACAAGTGACTTGTAATGCATGAAAGGTTGTGGTAAGCTTGTACCCAACTATGTTATACTTGACGGTAGAACCAGACTTCCAAGTGTGTAAGTGACATCATTCGAGTAAACCCGAGTGGGATTAATATCCCAGTTTACTGTGACCGAGCGGGCACATTGGGCGTAAAAATGGTTGGGGTGGTTTCGGTAAGATGAGATGTCACTTATATTGCTCCTGTTGTTAGAAAAATCTCCTAAGTGAATGCATGACAACACATTAGATGATTGATATGCATTGATATCTATCATGAGTTGTATTTACTGCATGAGTAGTATATGATAGAGTGTATGATGTGACTTTATGAGAATAAATGGTGATTTGATGATGGTGAAGCATAGATGTTTACTCTTATGCTTACATGATTGATTATTGAACTCTAACTTACCTTTTTATTTCCATGTGGATGGACTACGAGGATCATATTGTGTATGGGAGCAGGTCAGAGTTAGGTCAAAGTTGGTTGTTATGACCTATAGGATGTGGAGTTTTGTTCTAGTGTCAGAGTTACCATCTTGGGTAACTGTTTGATTGTATTGTACTTGATCGGCACTAAAAGAATATTATTATTTTAGATGACCGTATATATATAGTATTATATTTTGTACATAAAACGTAGTTTATTATTACTTTTATATACATGTATGTATTTGGTTATCCAGTTTAATATTTTCTCTCAGTTCACTAGTGTTATTAGTGCGATTTCACTGAGTATAGAGACCACGACGGGTCGTTTCAATATAAAATGACAAAATCTTCATAATTTCTTTATAATATAAAATTAAAAATGATTCTCCTAATTTTAAGATGATAATTAATTTATTAGAAATAAATTCAAATATTTAAACTAATACATATAATTTTAATAAGGATAGTAGTCCTCCAATATTCGCTTATACTGATTCAAATATTCGTTAAGCCATTACCAATAAATTATATATATATATATATATATATATACATACCAAGAATAAATAATTTTGAATTATATATTTATACTATAAATAAATTCGAATAATTTATTTTATATATAATTAAGTAATTGCAAAGTGTGACGACTCGCGTGTAAAATACCTTACTACAGATTTTTATCTCATTAATATCTAAGTATCTTTTTAATTAATTATCCTTTTTCACCCATATGTATCTACATATACAAACCCAAAAAAAAATATTAAAAAAATTGTCCTATGACCATTAAAGTTGTAATTTTATTGATTAACAATGTAACCTTTTTATGCAATCACCATTAAACTTGTAGAAATGATTAGTCATTCACAAACTTAACGAGGAAAAACCTTCATATCAGTCATTCAACAGGGAAAATCTACATGAAAAAACGGAGATACAAGTAAAAAGATATATTAATTAAAAGGATTAGTGGTATCATCCTTAAAATTTGAATACATAACTTACTTTTACTCCAAATAATCACTAGTTTGAAATATGATACAAAAACGAAGTCAAGGACTAATTTTAAAAGTTATTCTTAAAACATCACATTAAAAGTTTATCTCTTTATTTTTTTTAACTACATATAACAATGTTTAATACAAATTACAAACTTCTACCACGGTGTACTAAGGTAAGCCAAGTAATTAAAAAAAAAGGGTTGGAGTAGTAGAAATATGAGAGTCTAAGTTTAATTTTCATTGCAATTATCTTTATGATTTTTTCCATCTTTATATATATATATATAGAAACCTCTACCATGCAAATCAAGTAAACAATATAAAAATATAATTAATTTTAGGCTAAGTAAACAATTATGTTGGAGATAAGAGAAAAACAAACTATTACAACATTCAAACACGAATTTATGTCTTATATCATATTCAAACTATGTACTCCTTCAGTTGATGTTTATAAGTAAAAAAAATGATACATTTTTTATTCTCAAATAAATTTTCAACTACTTTTATTTAATTTAATAACATTATTTTTAAAATATTTTTCAATTAATGCATAACTCTTTAGTTGCACAATTTTTTTAAAACATTTATAATAAACATAATTTAA